GGGGGGGGGGGACGACGACTCTCTTCCCTGCAGCAGCCCTCCCTCCTCATCCCAATGATGGGGGAGGGGCAGGGAGGTGGAGCCATAAATATGTCCAGACTTTCCACAAGGCGAGTAGGGGGTCAGGGTAGCAGGGCCTCAGAGCGGGGGCAGGGGCAGGCCCGGGCCACCCTTGTCAGGGGGACCTGGCTCCTTAGGCGCCCTCGGCGGGACTGGGGGGTCCCCGGGCTTGCGGCCGTGCTTGCGGAAGTAGCGATAGCGCTGGACGTAGGCCCGAACCAGGTTGCTCACCTTGACGGGGTTGATCTCCCCGCTTTTGCTGTGGCAGATCTGGGTGGCAGGGCAGCGGGGTTACCACCTCCCTGTGGAACCTTCCCCCCTGGGACCCAGTAGCTCCCTTGTGAGGACAGAGCTCACGCACCAGCATGGCAGAACAGGGGGCGGGTGGCAAGGGCTAAAGGAGGTGAGGCCACCCACACTGGTTGCCTCCCCGCCCATCCCTCGGGCCCCACCTTGTGGACGGCCTTCCTCAGGATGTCCTTGTACTCCTCCTTGGTGATGTCCTTCTTCTGGTAGTACGGCTTGATGGCCAGCTTCACCTCCTCCACTGCCCGCTCCTGCGTGTGCAGTTTCTTCAGGTACTGCGGGGAGGGGGGCGACGAGACAGACAGAGTCACCTGGCAGAACCCTGGCTGCCTCCAGCATCCACCCTGTGCTCCCCTGGCTGCCTGTCTACACCTGGTTCTCAGCCTGGCCCACAGCTGTTCCCGTCCTCGAAGGCGGACGCTGGTGGGGGCAGCTGTGGGCAGAGCCGCTAGGCGCCCCCCCACGGCTTGTGGAGGGTCAGGAACCCAGGGGACACTGGCCCAGCTGAGCTTGGGCACCAGGGGATCCGAGCACGCTGCCTGGGTCGGGTCCGCATCCTGGGCTGAGTGTCAGCATGTGAAGTTCGGGGCAGGGACCCTCACCCTGGGATGTGTTGCAGTGAGGTAGCCTGCCGTGGGGACAGAGGGGCCATGGAGGGAGAAACAGAGCCTCGGGGGCAGGGAAGGCCAGCCTGTGGCTGAGGCCCTGGGGGGGAGGGAGACACCTGAACCCCACCCCGTCACCTAAGAGCTTGGCGGAAGCAAGGGGACCTGCCCCAGGGACGCCTCACTTGAACCGGGCACCTCTCTACTGCTCCTGGCCTGAGGCTGGATGGGAGTTGGTAAATGGAGGCCTGGAGGCTGCCCCACCCTGGGAGGCCGCAGGGCCAGCACCAGACCAGCCTCCTGTCCTAGGAGCTCCTGGGCACCCAGAGCCATAGGCTACCATAGAACCGTGGGCTGTCCCAACCAGCCATCCAGCCAGGAATTCCTAAGACGGTACACCAGAAAGGGTCATTCCTGTGCCCTATCAGTCATGGTGAGGGATTACAAAGGGCTGAGGACAGGCTCAGGGGCCCTTCCTGTCCCCACCCTGCTGCACAGGGCACAAGCCAGGGCTACCCCACCCACTCCGTCTTCGAGCAGGGGGCCAGCAGTTGTATGGACAAGACAAAGCTCCTGCTTCCACGGGTCGGAGCCCAGAGAGGAGGGCAGGGAAGTCACTGATGGGTGGGCTGGGCTGGGTGAGAACCGGCAGGCCAATCCTGATGCCTGGCAATCCCCAGGTGATAGAGAGCAGCCCTGGATGCTGCCCCACCCTGGGAGGCTGCAGACGCAGTGGACAGACGACCATGCCTCCCCCTCGGAGCAACCACCTTCTGGTGTGCGTGTGTCTAAAAAAATTTGCGGAAAAGCAGAATGGAAAGAGGATTGGCTTTTCCTGGCCACTCTGAGCTGGCTGGGGGTTCCTCCGGTTGAGTTGGTGCAGACCCTGCAGGGGCCTAGCTGACCCCAGGGGGGGTGGGGAAGCAGGTGGGGTTCCCTGGGGCCTCTCATCACGGCACCACACCAACTGCTCACGGACAGAGTTTGCATCTGCGCGTCTGTGTCTCATGTCCTCTAGTCCATTCTAACCTCACCCCAGAGGGTGGCACAGAGCCGCCCCACCAGGCACTGGGGCTGTCAGTCCTCATGGGACCACCCGACTGTCTTGCTGGTGCACAACGGCAGCTGGGCTGGGCTAGGCTATGTGGTTAGTGACCAGCACCTCAAACCGGGGCGCCAGGGTTCCTGGCTCCCTGGCTGCAGGCCGAGTCACACGTCACAGCCCTTGCGCGTGCGCCTATGGCGAGGCAGCCCGTCAGTCAGCTCTGCGCCCGGGGTCCACTTTGCTTTACCCAGTGGCGCCATGAGAAGGCGGCACTACCAAGATGGAGGTGTGACACGTGGTGTGATGATAGGGAGGCTCCCTTAGTCTGAAGCGGCCAAGGGAGAGCTGGGTGGCTCTGAAACAGCTCAGATCCTCTGCCAGAGACTGGGAGAGGGTCCAGCGGGGGCCAATGGTTACACAGACACCATCGTGCTCGGAGCCTGGGACCCCTGCATCCTGCCGTCTACCTCTGTCCCTGTCCCCGGTGCAACTGCTGCCATCGAGGCGCCCCCCCCACACACACACAGCTCACCTTGTCAGTGTCCCCTCGTCCCTCTGAGCTGCTGCTGCCCTCTCTCTTGTCGGATGCTGCAGCCAGCCCCGTAGGGGTGGGTGGGGTGGAGCCACAGCCCCCGAGGGGGAGGTTGCCAGGAAGCAGGTAGCTGGAGGGGCCGGGAGGCAGACCCAGAGAGGTGGGCACAGGTGCTGGCGTCACCCCCAGACCTGAAGGGGGCTTCCTGTGGCTGAGGATCTGCAGTGGGGGGGTTTGGGGGGTAGGTGAGCAAATGGGTGGGGGGTTGATGGTGGGGGGGAATAAACACGCCCCCCCCCCCATCCATGATTTCCCAGCAGCTCCAGGCCCACATCTGGGATATGAGCAAAGGCTGGGGCCTGGCCCTGGGGAGCCCACCTGGTTGGTGGCCTGGATCAGCTCCTGGGCCTTCGCTCGGCTGGCCAGGTTGGCCTCCTCCATCTTGAAGAGCAGTGCTGTCACTGCAGGACACCAGGGCACAGGGGCGGATGTGAGGCACGTGGGGACCCTGCCTGGTGCCTGCCACCCATCCCAGTTCCCGGCATTGGCCACACCACTCAGACCAGGGCCTTGACCAAGACATGAACCTCCACCCAATCTACCTGAGCTGCTCTTGGGGGTCAACAGGGTGACTGAGCTGAGGCCTGGACACTTGGTCACAAGGTGGTGGCAGGAGAGAGATCATGTCTCTGAACCCTCCAACCACCCCTTGGCCTGGCTTCTCCCCCCTTCCCTTTAGCTGCCCCCCACCTCACTACATGCCCTCAGGCCCACTGTCCACCACCCAGCTTTCAGACATACACGGCCCAGGACCCCACCTGCTGCCCAGACCCTTAGAGTCCCTCCAACCAGGGCGAGCCGGCCCCAGGGACACTCACGGGCCAGGACGCCACTGGTGGTGCAGTCCACACCCGCTGGCAGGTTCCAGGGCATTGGTGGGGGCAGCGTGGGCAGCTGGGAGACCCGGGCGGTAGGCCCATCCTCAGCCCCTGAGTCACCGGCGGTGGAGCCTGCACTGGGGGCAGTGCTGGGGGCGGCGGCAGCCGTGCTAGTGGCGG